ATGATGACGATGACGATGATCACGATTCTGATTCGGTGAGATTTCGATGACATCGACGATGCGTGTGAATCAAATCGACGATGTGTGATGATGACGTGGCTGATGAGAGGATAGGACAGTGACAATGATATTGGACCTCCACAGCCACCCGTTGTGGCAGCTCCACCGAGAGAAAATAACTCGAACAGCAACACGAACCACAATAACCGTACGAACGGTAACAACACCCAGTCATCTACAACGAGCAACAACAACAACCGATTGGCAGACATCGCCAGCGTCGTGAATGCAACCATGAACGATCTGTCAGCCAGTCACGTGCCCAGCAACGGAAATTCCGCCGGAAATTCGGCTCCAGGAGCTCCAGGACAGAACGCTGGGAATCCACCGGGAGAGGGTAACAACCTCTTGAATATGTTCTTCCAATCTCTCGCAGATCGCGGATTCGCGCACGAGCTGCGAAACCTAGAGGAGGACTTTAGACATTCTTCCGATGACATGACCCAGTGAGTGAAATGTCACGGAGATTTCGGAAAATTGATCGGGGCAGCTTCCGGAACATTTATTTCACGGAGAATAACGGACAATACGAGCCGAACATTCAAGACGAATTCATCGAGTCTGTCCTCGAGCAATTGGCCGGTATGAAAGATTATTCCGACGCTCTACAACGAGACATCGAATCTTCCCGCCACCGCGAGGACCCCCGCATGGTGGAGCTGCTAAGAAAAGTCAAGGAACAGATCGAGAGCATTTTACAGCTGCAGAAGATTGCTTCACCTTCTATCAGCGGACCTCTCAACTTGTTCAAAGGAATGTATACGAACACTCAACACTGCGGCCACGTTGTACACAAGGACTGCTTGGCAACGTACAGCAGCTCCCTTTTGGGAAGACTGACGCAGGGTAATCCGTTCGAAGGAGAGGGAGTCATCGACATACAAGACGCGGTGAGTTGTAGATGGATGACGTGTGATGACGTCATCACAGCACGAGTTCTTGTGTCTCATGTGCAGGAGAATCGCAAATTCGCTGACGCCCATCATTCCCATACAGAACCTCCTCTTTGCCGTGAGTTTTCATCGAGATTTCCACCCGTGTACGTACCGAACGTTCCCAGGGACAACCCGATCTACCCCTCGAAGAACCCGTCAGAGAAGAAAAGATTCCCGCCAATTCCATCCGAGAACTCATCGACAACCCACCCTCTACCACCTACCAGTACGTAACTCGAATTCTCCACGACTTCTCACCCCCACAGGGAACAGAACCTCTTCGAGCTCACTCCACAATTGTCCGAGGCATTGTCCGATTTTGTTCGGTCCCTCAGCGAGGCCGGGCAGCAGCGCAACGCCATCGTTGCCGAGCGTCCCGCCTACCGCTCTCTCTTTTCCTTGTGGTCCACCATCAGCAACACGATCGTCTGCACCGAGATCACGCTGAGAAAGAAGGGAGAAGACAAGTCGATCGTGTGGCAGCAGCTGGATAACAATTGTATGAGACAGATCAAAGCTCTGTTGTACTGTGGATTGGCCATGACACACGAGAGGATGAAGGGAGGAGAGGAAGAGATCAGAATCAGGAACGAAAACTTGTGGAGGTGTCTGAGGGGCGAGAAGGTGGAAGACGGTGAGTCAATTTGGAACGGACGGAATTGGGACTGACCGGGTGCAGAGGAAGTCGAGATGAAGCAGCCGCTGCTGTCACGTGACCTGTTCTCCTGCATGATCTGCACCGTGGTCGCTTGGCCGCAGACGTATACGCTGTTCCAGAATTTTCACAGAATTCTATCGACCTTCTATCACGCACTCGTCATTCAAGTGGGTCGATGCGCAACCTACGTACGTGAACTCAATGTGACAGACACTCGTTGGAATATCACACCTATCGGAGGACCAAAAGATTGATCCCACCGCTATTCCATCCACTGAAGAAGACCTGGCCTGCCGGAAAAACATCACGGACTATTTAGCCGTGCCGAGTCAATCGAAATTGGAAAGGCTGTCGCCCAACTGCGTACAGTACGCACAGGAGGTGATGCTACCCTTTTTGAGAGCATCTGCCATACTGCTGTACAGTGGATTCGATCAGAAGATGATCCCGTGGATGATGAACCAAGGAGCACCTGTGGAGCAGTTCTCCACCCTGACGAGATACCTGTGTCTCCCCTCGTTGCAAGATGCCATACAGAACATGTCAATGGAGAAACCCCTGGGACAATTGAGAAATCGATGGCTCGCCAGACTCAGACAAGACACAGAGCAGGTGATCATCATCATCATCACGATCATCATCATCATGACGATGAATGATCTAAACATGTCTAGGAGATCATTCCCATGACGGCCCCATCTGTCCCATTCACTCTCATCCGCCTACCAGATTCCTACGCAGAACTCCTCCAGAAATACGGCAGTCTCCGCTGCAAGCACTGCGGATTCGGTCACAACAGTTCCCGTCGTTACATCTGCCTCATCTGTGGATCCATCGAATGCGAAGAGGTGACACACGCAGGCACATTCGAAGCTGAACGTCTATAGCACCTGTCTCCCTGCCTCGGTGACATCGGAGTGTATCTAAACCCTAAATCCAGTCAAGTTTGGATCGACCGGGCTGCACACAGGGGTCACGTCCGATTCTCCATTTGGGGGAGTCCGTATCTGGTGATTGATGATGATGATGATGGAAGCTGATGAGGAACAGGATGAGCACGGAGAAGAGGATGTGGATCTGTACAGAGGAAGGCCGCTCTTCTTGAACCAAGAGAGATACGAGCAGCTGGCCGCTCTTCTCATCTCGCATCAGGCTGATTGGAGTTCGGCTCTGTCTGAGAGTCTCCTGCAAGAGTTCACATAAAAGTTTGTCTTACAGCCCTCTTCATCTGTGTGCGACAAACTCATCTTCTAAAGAACTTTCACCACCGTCGATAAAGAACAACCTGGTAGAGGTGAGCATGAGAACGGTGAAGTCTCTGCTGTGGCAGACAAAAGGGAAGAGAAAAAGCCTCTACTGGGGATCGAACCCAGAATCTCTTGGTTCGTAGCCAAGCGCTGTTCCATTGAGCCATAGAGGCGATGTGGTGCCGTAGCGATTGTGGTGGCAATATACTTCATATCGCATGGCTTACCATTATTCCGATTTGGACTTCAAAAATCGGAAGATGAGTCAGCTCATTTCCCAACTTCTCCATCGAGAACAGTCGCAATCGAACACATAAGGATCGATCATGACCGAACTAGTTCCCTTCCTATCGGCTCAAACGGCGCTGGCCAACGTCACTGGGACTTTTCTGGCGATTGCAAATGATCCGTTGGCGTTACAAGACACACACGATGCTCTTTCATCTACCTTCTTATTCGCAACGATCTTGGCCATTCTCACACTCATCCTATCCGAGATCACTGGCCATCTTTCTTACGTTGGTATGATATCTATGATCCAGATTCACATTGCGCATCTAAGATTCATCAGACAAGTTGTGGTCCGTTCTACCTCCTTCCTACGTGATCTATTTCACCATCAGGGCCACCTTGGAGGATTATGGACACGTTCATCCCAGATTAGCTCTAATGTCCCTGGTAACAATCGTCTGGGGTGCTCGGTTGACCTTCAACTTCGCCAGGTGGATCCCATTTATCCATATCATCTCTCGAAGACATCTCTAACACCTCTTCAGACGTGGAGGATACAGTCTCACCGAAGAAGATTACAGGTGGCTCTCTTCTTCTATCATCCATCACTGAATCGTTGACAGATGGCCGTGGTTGAGAGCTAGGTTCCATCCTCTACTCCTCCGCCTGTTGAACTGGACCTTTGTTGCCACGTTCCAACACTATCTCCTCTACTTCCTGGCTCTTCCTGCCTTCTTTGCTTATCAAGTGAGATCGATCACCTTCTGCATCGATCGTGATGGATCATCATCAGACGAGACACCTCAACCCACACATCAATACGTTGGACGTATTCTCTGCGACACTCTTCTTGACCCTCGTAGTGATCGAGACTGTAGCCGATGAGCAGCAATACATGTGATCCATCATCGTCATTGCACACGATCGTCACAGTCGATCACCTGACATCTCACAGATTCCAAACCGAAAAGTACAGACTCAAGGACAGTGGACGGGCCCTGACGGGCGACTACAAGGCGGGAGATTCAAATCTCAAACTTCAACTGACTTCACGACAGAGGGGCTTCTCCACCACTGGCCTGTTCCGCTACAGCAGACATCCAAATTTCTTCTGTGAGATGTCAATATGGTGGACCTTCTACCTCTTCTCCATCTCTGCACTCTGGGTGAGTCGATCTACAATTGAGATGAATCGATCGATGACGTCATCAGACCCACCACGGCTTCATACCTGATTCACCTGCTCACGGCTTCCGTCACGGTGAAATTTCGATGAAATCTGTTGGGTGACAGTTGTCAGGTGGAATCTTGAACTGGAGCGCCATCGGTGTCCTCCTGCTGACCCTGGTCTTCCAGGGAAGCACACCACTGACCGAGTACATCAGCTCGCAGAAGTACCCTGCCTACTTGCAATACCAGAAGACAACCTCTAGGATCATCCCGTGGTTCTCTTCCAAGAGCAAAGACGAATGATGCTGATAAAGAACATGTCGTGTGCATCACTCACCACACATTGAACTTTTGGGTAATCTAAGGAAGACGACTTTCCTTGTACATAGACAGCACCTCCTCCTGACTTTGCATGGTTATATGCGAAAGTGTTGTTGGTGATGTCGATGGTAATAGCCAGAGATGCTGATGGTTCCTCCTTGTCCTTCACCGGAGATACTGTTTCCCGCAAAATTTGCGTTTGCCACCGAATGTCTTTGCATCGATCTGGCGAAGAACAGAAGATTCAGTGTTCTGCTGATGACGATGGTGTTTCTCTTCATTCCATCATGTCACCATATTTGTGGAATATTCCATGTAGTGCTATATACTGGCTTACATATATGAAACATTCGTAATTTACTGGATTCGAAACACCAAGACAGCATGGCCGAGTGGTTAAGGCGGTAGACTTGAAATCTACTATCTTCGGATTCGTGAGTTCAAACCTCACTGCTGTCGTCTTTTTGCCTCGTAAGAGGGGCACTTAATCTCCTTCGACACAATCATCCAATGCTATTCAACGTCATCTTTCATGTTATGAATTTTTTGGAATTAATACCGCTAGCGTTTCATATGATAATCCCATTTTTCGACTATTCGGACTTTTATCATTGTAGATGACATATATTTCCCGTCCAGATCCGGGAGGGCGTGAGTTCAAACCTCACTGCTGTCGTCTTTTTACATAAATGAAAATACGACAGGACGTAAAATGGAACGATACGGCGCGTGAGTCCAAACCTCACTGCTGTCGCCTTTATTGAAAAAAACAGCCATTTATTTTGTGAACCATCTCCGTTTTCTAAGGCCCTGCCTGATTCGGACGTTGTGATCACTCTCATCCCACAACATTTCAGACATCAGCATCATCAATGACGAACGCGAGAAACGATTCATCTAAATTATAAAAGACTACACAGACGCCATCTTTCATTCTTTTCATTTCCTCATCCTGATCGATTCATCCACGATCGAACCACCCGTCTACACACGAGAATGATTTCCCTCTTCTTCCCTCGCTCACACATTGATCCTTCCCATAGAACTTTGTTTCATCCCCGAATTTCTAGACGAAAAGATCCTCCTGATCGCATCATCACATTCTTTCTGATTCTTCGCGTAAATGTTTAAAAAGATTCCAGAGACAGAGAAGAGACCTACGTTCGTCTCATCAGATGATGATCGAGTCATCCTCTTCTCACCCGCAAAGAGGTAAGTCAATAAGAAAGGTTTAGGAAAGACCAAGAAGGAGAGTACGATGGTCATCAGTTTCCTACACGTTCCAACCGTAACCGTCACGAATATACCACAAGTCCTCGTGATGTTGAGAGCAAACATTCCACCCGCATAACCACACAGGGCGATCATCTTTGTGAGAGTCAAGTCTGGACGTGAGAGAGAGAAGAGTAAGAGGATACGAATGTGAGGTAATAGACTTGAGGAACTTGACGACTGTAAGTGAGAGCGGGGAAGAGTAGGCCGGTGACGATGAGACCCGTGCAGACGAGAGGAGCACCGATCATCGATTGATAGAAGATCTGAAAGTGTGAATCTCGTCGTCCATCTCATCACGATGAACAATGTGACAGTGATCGTCGTGATCGCGATGATGCGATGAAGAAATCACCATCTCCCTCTCCGTACAATGATATCTCGACATCACTGCATCTTGCAGGTTCTGTCCCATCGATTCACAAGCGATCGAGCAGCATTGCAATAAGACTCCTATCCTCTCTTCAATCGTCATCACTTGATGATGATCTCACCGATCACGACCGGATTGTCACGGATGGCGGCGTCACCCAGGGAGAAGAGAATGACAGACAGTAAGAGTAGAACGGAAGCGATGTACTGCATGAAAGTGTATCTCTTTCCAAAGAAGAATCTGCCCACCAACATGAGTGGGATGATCTTGGATGACTGTCGATGTGTGAGCATCGTGATGATGATGCGATGAGGAGATCTCGTTCGCACTTTGAATAAAACTTTTGTTGGAAAACTGAGATAACTGAGTGAGAGGTTCGACAGAGCGAGAGAAGAAACGATAAAGACTGAGATCTTTGCGTAATCGGTCCATTTGGCCCTGTGATCTCGTGTCAAGGGTGATGGTGATCTTACGAGATGGATGATCCCCTGCGATCGAACCTATGATGATAGCATGAAGATTCACCTCGCTATCGTATCACCAGTCAATTGACGTTCCGTGTAGGATAACATGAGATATGTGACATATTGTAAGAAGGTGATGAATAAACCGTAGTGAAAGTCTTGGAGTCGAAACAATCGTTCCTGAGGTAGACGTCATCATCAAAGCAGATGACAATCGTTCGTGATGATGCATTGGATTGCGAGAAGAGATGATGAAATACCTGTAATAATCCATACGGCAAGAAGAAACCAAAGATTCCAAAGACGCAAATCAGGAATTGTGTCCGTGGTAAGAACTGACTGAGATCGAGAACGCCAAATAATAGATTGGATGATATTGTGTTGGGGATCGTCCCTCCGTTAGTCGTGGGTAATAGATCGCCATCGTCATCTGATTGATGTGACCTGTGAATGATCCCCGTGATATCAGGCGATAGAGCCATGATCTGAGGCGAGTCACTCTCTTCGCTTCTTCTCGTCATCTTTGGAGATAACATGGAAAACCATTCTGACCAGCCAGGTTGGCCATCAGAAGGTAACGGGTTCTGTCGAGGCCGCATCAGCTTGCTCAAATCGGAGCTCGATCGGCCCGTCATACGTCTTCCTTCTCTGCGACCCCGTGATTTGACTAATTGTAGACCTGTATCCTACAACGCTGTATCAGATACTCGACTTATCAATGATTATAAATAGAACGATCAGTTGATAACCAGCAGTGCCTCATCGAGGGATACCTCTCAAAGGAGAATGACAGACGAGAACACACTCACAAAGATGCCGTTGTAAACTGTACTTTGGAATGTTTTCGTAATTTCTTCTCAAATGATTGTACAAGCAACAGTTTTGTTCAACAACAGGAACACGTGGGGACAAAACAGAACAGAAAAAGCCTCTACTGGGGATCGAACCCAGAATCTCTTGGTTCGTAGCCAAGCGCTGTTCCATTGAGCCATAGAGGCGATGTGTTGTGCGACGACATAGTTCCATTAATTTCATACATGATCAAACTTTCGAGATAAGTAGCAATAGCTTGAATGAACAACGACATCAAGATCCTATTTCCTCTTTCTTTATTCTGATCGGTTGACCTGAACTTCGATGACGCTCGGCGGCATATCACACAGAGGATTCATCTGCAATGCTCCCGACTCGTCCATCGGCTCCATCTCCAATGCATCCGTATCGTATCTACACACCATCAATCCTCCCACCCCTCTTCATATCTCACCTCTGTGACGGAGTCTCATTCTCTTGAACCAACAGAGACATTTGAGAGGGCGTCATCAATAAGAAATTCTTCTTGTCCACGCGAGGGGCCTCGTTCTGCAGCCTGTCTCTTCTCACGAGGGATCTGCCCAGGCCGTTGGGGGCGGGAGCGGAATTGGGATCGATGATTTGGGACAAGGTGTCGGCGATGTGTCTCATGTTGGGACGGGAAGAAGGCTTGTACGACCAGCTGAGAGGAGTCAGGGATGGCGGGTTGTAGATGAGCTCACCAGCTAGACATCAGATCGGAGAGGGCAGAGATGGTCTGAGGGATGCTGGGGTGACCCTTGTTGTCGACAACTGTGTCGACAATTTGGGCATCGTTCATTCCCTCGTATGGTGTCTTTCCACCGTTCATGACTTCCCTGTTATTCCGTCAATCTACAACGATGTAGATCGATCGATTCACCATAAGAAGACACCGAACGACCAGACGTCCGATGCGTGAGAATACTTCTTGTTCAGAATGACCTGAGGTGCCTGCCACGTCATCAGTACGTATCGTTACGTACCAAATCTCTCACCGCCCATCGAACGGCGAAATCGCTGAGAATTTTCTGAGAAGGTTTTGGCGCGAAACCGACGAGAGCGTGGGAGAATCCTCCCAACTTGGTCTCCAGCCTGCCTCCGTTCTGCGGCCTGACCATCACGTTCTCTGATCGGATGTCACAGTGGACGATGCCCATGCTCTCCAAGTAACAGACCGATCCACAGATGTCTTTGACCCTGTTGATGGTCAGCGATGGAGGCGGGGACTCGGTCTCACATCTGTAGGAGGTTTCGATTGTTGAATATGTCTCCGTGCTTCAGCAAGAACTCTCTCGCGTTACTGTCGACGAAATATTCGGTCACCATGAAAGTGTCGACATCGGAGGACCACAGACCCAGAAATTGTACGAGATTGGGATGGTGGAGACTCTGATCGAATTGAGACGGAGGAGACAAGAGGAGGACTCACCCTGAGGACGATCGACTCTCTCATGAAGTCGCTCCTGTCCTCTTCTGTCATCAACTTCTTCAGGGCGACGGTGGTGGTGTCCGAGTACGTGGCCTTGAAAGCTTCTCCCCTCTCGTCTTCCTGCGTTACCATGGTGATGATGGAAGAGCTGTCGGGGGTGAGTGACGTCACTCGTCGACGTCGACACTCACTCCAAGTTGGCTTCGGACTCTGCGAACTGACTGGCGCGAATGGCGGGATCGATGTGATGCTGTTGTCTCCTGGCAACGATGATGGCTGCGACTACAACGAGGCAGATGGCGGCGATACCACCGATGACGCCTCCCACGATGGCTCCAGTGGGAGCGGAAGCTGTGTTGATCGTAGGCTGACTGTTGGGTGTGGGGATCTTGGTTACGGTGAAGTTTGTCAGATGGTTACAATCACACGACGCGGTGCCTGGGTGGGGTGAGAAAGATCGCGGGAATTTCAAGTTACGTACCGTCCAGGCCAGGGGTAGGATGGATAGTACAGCCTTCGGGGCTCCATTTCGTCTCGTTTTCTGACCACCACACGCATTGTAGATCGGACAAATTGTAATTGTTCGGGGACAGACCGATCTGAATGGAGATGGGCTTGCTCGTGTTTTTCACCGAAATTTCGGTTCCGTTGTCGGTGTATACGGACAATCCGACGACATCCCCGACAAAGGTGAGGTTCTGTTCAGATTGCTGCAGGGGGCTCGAATGCATGACCTGAGATTTCAGCAAAATTTCGTCTACATTTCGACTCACAGACAGTACGGCTACGATGGGACGTGCAAATTCCAACAAGCTTCCTACCACTTCTGAAGGGATGCTAAATCCAGCTTTGTAGCCTGACAGGCTCGGGCTGATGCTAGCTTCGGCGGGGGTGTTGGCAGACTTGATGATGATGGAAATGCTGTTGCCAATGGCAACGTAAGGTGTGACGAGGGAGGAGACAGATTCCTGTGCGACGAGCCTCAAGGTGAGAGCCTGTACGTTGGTGTAGAATTCCTGGAAATTTCAGACCGAGGAAGGAGGGGATAGAGTACCTGAGGCTTGGTGCTCGTGTTGAATGTGTCGAG